CTCTTGCCTTCTAGATTTTAAAATCAGGTTATCATATTATCTACAACTGGTCAGTGGCTATAATCAAGTATCTCAACTTTACTGAGCATTGATTATTCATAAAGAAAAGATAGCAGTGCTGATATTTTTCATGTAGTTACAAATATACATATTCTAAAATAGCATTCTATAAGTGTTTTATAGAATAGTTAGCATTAGTTAATATATTTTATTGATTTAAAATTTTTAAAGATTTATTTAGAGTATATGAATGTTCTTCCTGCATGTATATATGTATACCACCTGTGCATGGAAGTCAGGAGAAGGTGTTGGCTCCCCTGGAACTGTAGTTACACATGGCTATGAGCCACCATGTGGGTCCTTGGATTGAACTCTACAAGAGATACAAGTGCTCTTAACTACTAAACTGTCTTGGAACATGCATTTCATCAGTGTAGCATATTTCACAATTTCAATTGAGTTTTTAAAAATTTAGTATATTTTAAACAGATCTCCAAGCTAAATATTAGTAGTTGTAGGTACCTAAATATTGATCTTTGAGAATAATGGGGATTTAAAGTTTAATAGAAAAGGGGGTGAAGCAATGGGAGAGGTGAGAGACATCAATGGAGTTAATCAAAATGAAGAGCGCATGAAAAAGTTATACAGAAATCTGCTAATTATAACCATCTAAAAAGTATAAAATATATGAAATAAAAATTTTATTGGGGATACTCCACATGGCTGGGAAAAAACTGATCCCAGAAGGTATATGAAAACACTAGTGCTAGGGTGAGCCATGGGACAGGCAGCACCAAGGACAAAGTGGGGTGCAGCAACCCAGAGCTCCAAGGGAAACATGTCCTTACTGAACAGGGACTGTCCAAGACCTACCAGCATGTACCCAGCATGGAGCCAATGTACCTGCCATGCTGCTTGCTCTGCTGGGAGATGAAGAGTGTGAAGCAGCAATACTACCCATAGGTTACAAGAACAAAGGTTGAGCCTGGCAATGGTCAGGGTGGCAGACTTCAAGGGTTAGGATTGGGTGTGTTTAGCAGCCAGGAGCTTGCACAGACCTGCCTTTGAATGCCCTGCATAGCCACATCATCACCCCGACTCTGGGCAACAGTAGGGTATCTGAGACAAGTCTCATCACTGGTCCAGTATTTATGGTGCTTTAGAAACCAGAGGCCTTGAACCACACTAAGAAGGCACTGGCACTGCAATGAATATTTGCATGTAAAGCTGGTATGTATGTATGTATGTATGTATGTATGTATGTATGTATGTATTCCAATTCCACTATGACAAATGACTATTCAATGGAGAGGTGGGGAAAACGGAGGAGTAGAGCAGTGAGTGCACAGTGTAGAACTAGTGACACAGCAGTAGTGACAGGTGTCAAAGGAAGCTCCTGTGGATGGGGTCCATGTCCTTGCTGAGTTGGGCTGATCAGCTGAAGCTTGTGCAGACTCAGCTCTAAACATGCTGATCACCCTGGTTCTGAACAATGACAGGATGTCCAAGATGAAGAATGGTTCATTTTCAGGACTGGAACTCCTTCAAGACCTTGCAGAACCTAAAGGCATCATTGGTATTCATGCCCACTGTTTGAAGCAGTATTGAAGGTCGTGGTTCATGTGAATGGTGCTACAGTAGCCAGGGGTTGTGTTGATGTCAGTGGCTCATGTTACCACTGAAGGTCATGTGGATGTCCATGGTCTGTCCTGATGCCTGAACCCATGGACCACGATGCCACCAATGGTTCTCTGGGTCTAAGGTCCTACTGAACCTGAGGACTATGTTGATGTCTGTGGCCTATCTTACCACTGAAAAACATGGGGATGTCTGTGGTCTTTGCTGTGATGCTGTGATGGCGCCTGTGTCCCTTACTTTGGCAGAGGGCCATGTTGAGTCCATGGTCTGTACTGCCACTGGAGACCATGCTGAGGTCTGTGTACATGCTGATACCAGAGACTATGTGAATATCCATGGACCATGCTGTCACCAGAAACCATGTGGAAGTCCATGATCTGTGCTCCTGTTGGCTGCGAAAAGCTACTTTTGCCATGGTATTGTTGATTACAGTCTCACAGTTGAGAAAGAAGACATAAAAGGCTTCTGTGACAGTCCCTACCTCAGCCCAACATCCCCATTAACAGCCTAGACAGAAAGTCATCAAAGAGAATTTTTAGATATTATGATAAGGATGCTGAATTGTGGCTCTCCATAACTGATAGCTTCTGTTGGGGGTTTGAGTAGGGAAGGACTCAGTTTTCTGTGATGGACTGGCCACCGGGAGTTTGACCATATGAGTATATGGGCAACTCAAGTTCGACTTTAGTTTGCCTTTCTTTTTATTCTTTTTAATTAATTTATTTTTGGTAGGGTGTGGCCACAAGTGAGGGAGTGAGAAGGGTGGGGGGCAGGGGGATGGAAGAGTGGGAGAGTAGACTTATGAGGACTGGGAAATGAATATGCTCAGGGTTCATGATGTGAAACTCCTGAATAATAAATAAAAATATGTAAAAATAAAAAAGGAAAATACCAGTGCCAAAAGTGTGATATTTATGAGGTGTTGGTAATGATGGCCCCAGAGACCCCCCATAAACAGGCTTTTCCCATTCTTTTTGGTTGTACACTAGAATTAGATGATGCCATATCAATTAGCTTTCAGGGTCCTGTGTGAGTCACGAGGAGAGAAAAAGTACTAACTGTTTCCCAGATGTGAATCCTATAACATATAAGACCAATTTTCTAGGTAAGATGTGACCACTTCACTACTATTGGGGATAACCAAATGCTTTCATCCTGGCTTTGAGACAAATCTGCAGGAGGGAATCCATGCTATATAAACCTTGACAAAATCCTATGGCAGGAAAATCCTAGATTCTAGTGGAGAACTGAATGCTGTTGCTTAACTAAACTGACACAGTGTTAAGCTGGTTTTTATATATTTGCCTTAATATAGAAAATGCTGTTAGCAGCCTTAATCAGAAAAAAGCTCTCTTTCTAGTGTCCTGTGATGAATGTAGGGAATCATAACTCCATAAAGTGCTGAGAATAAGTGATGGATGAGTGTTGGGCCCCTGAAACAGACATTTATACCATCCCGACTAAGGCTTGAGACACATCCATGGAAAGGCATCTAAAGACAGCTGGGCAGTCAGCTGTAAAATGTTATTTACCTTCCAGGAAAATCAAAGCCACTGCAACTGTAAAGCTGTAGATATGTGCCCTGTCTATGCACAAGAATGAGCTCATTAATAGTCAGACATGGATGAAGGATGGAATCAAGGGGCCCTACAACTGACTACTGAACTATTTGCTATTGGCACAGTCATGGATAGTGGAGGTCATTGACTTCAATTTTACACTGATTAGTTACAGTTCTAATCTAATGGTCACACACACACAATCCCACTTAAACTAAATGGACCACAGATCAAAACTAAACATCACAAATCTTGAAAACAGACTGCTAGGGATGGTGGGTGCTGAGAAGGGTAGGACAGACATAAAAGAGAGAAGCAGAGAGTGTAATCAAATGCATAAGATTATGAAGTAACATAATTAATAAAAATATTAAAAATAAAGATTAATGGGCCAGGGAGCTGGTCCAGTGGTTGAAAGCATTAATGATACAACACTGGTAACCTAATTTTGATCCCTGGAATGCATATCAAAATCTGGATCTGGTGATACATAGCAATAGTCCCATATGCCTACCACAAGATTGGAGGCAAATACAAGAGTATGAAGCTGAAACAAGAGAGCCCTTGCCTCAGTTGTGGAAGGCAAGAACTGACTCTTGGATGTTGTACTCTGAGATCCATGTGTGTACCATGGCACATGCTGACAATAACAGCAACACATTCACACACATTTAAACATGGAAGATATATAAAACTAGACCTAACACATGATTTAAGCAAATCTAGGAAATAAAACTAGCATCAACTTCAAATTATTTGTAAATAGAAAGTATTTGTATATTTGATAAATGAAGAATTAGCCAGGTAAGGTACGTAGCTTGAAAGTGGTCCTATCTATATATGTATATATAGAGATATGTATATATTTCACATAGCTTCTGTTTCATTAGTAACACAGTTATTTAGACAGTGATACCTCTATAAAACCAAAATATAAAATATTTTATTAAGAATAACTAGCCTTGGGTAGTAGATCAGTATTTATCCCTGGCATACAAATGGACTTTGGGTGCCCATCCAACAATGAGAGATGCACTCTCACCCTGGACTCTTGGGGAGAGTCTAGGCCCTGCCCTGGATGAAATGACAGACTTTGGACACCCCCTTCCTGGGTAAATGAGGGGATTTTGGAGGGGCTGGTGGGAGGGCGTGGGAGGAGGGGAGGGAAAGAGAGAGAGACCTGGGATTGACACGTGAAGCAACCTTGTTTCTAATTTAAATTTAAAAATAAAAAAAGAAAATTTGCCTTAATAAATTATAGTCTATAGAAACTGGTTTTCTATTTCACAGTTTAAATTTTTTAACTTTAAAAATTTTTAAGATTATAAATATAATCATAACATTCCTCTCATTTCTTTCCTTTCCACAAAACATGCAATATACCTTCCCCACACTCCTTTAAATTCATGGCCTCTTTTTTCACTAATTGTCAGAGAGCATATATGCTATTGTGCATGTGTGTATGCTTGCGTGTGTGTGTGTGTGTGTTCATAAATATAATATGTTAAGTCTGTATGTTACTTGTATGTATGTTTTCAGGGCTAACCATTTGGCACAGATTTTTTAATCAGACTTAAAGGTGTGGTCAAGCCTATGATATTAGCTTCTTTGGAGAATAAGGTACAAGAAATGATGAGAGACTTGGGCAAGCCTGGGTTTAGAGAGGAAGCACAAGAGCAAGAATGTGAGAGAGAACACACCATTTTGAGATAGACTTTGTGAGATCAGTAGAGAATAACATAGGATTTGAATTTTCACTTAATTCTTATTGAATATTTAAAATGACAACTCTTCACATTGTTTTCACCTGTTTCTGTCAAAAGCTACCTTATGAACTAAGTCTTTGAAGGCTTGTTTTACTTGCTGGTTTCTCAAGGAATAAATAAAAGGGTTCAGCATGGGAGCAATTGAAGTGCTGAGAACAGCTACTGTTTTGGTCAGTGATGCCCTTTCTTTTGCAGAAGGTTTCACATAGATAAATATGCAGCTTCCATAAGACATGGAGATGACAATCATGTGAGAGGAACAGGTAGAGAAAGCCTTTTTTCTCTGGCTGATAGATGGAAATCTTAAGATAGTCCTGATAATATACATGTAAGATAAAATCACTAATGCCAATGTGAACAGCAGAGTGAACAGAGCAAAGTAGAAGCCAATCACTTCTAGGAGCCAAGTATCTGAGCACGACAGTTGTAAGAGAGGAAAATAGTCACAGCAGAAGTGGTCAATGACATTAGAAGCACAGAAATCTAATTTGAGGACCAGCATGAGTGGTGGGAAGATGGTCAGAAATCCTGCCAGCCATGAGGTGAGGACAAGAAGGGTGCAAACTTTCTGATTCATGATGGTGGTATAATGCAGTGGCCTGCAGATGGCGACATAGCGATCATAAGACATAGCAGTTAGCAGAAAAAATTCTGTCACACCAACGAAGATGAAGAAAAATAACTGAGCCAAGCAATTATTATAGGAAATGGTCTTGACTTGAGTAATTATTGATGTCAAAAATCTTGGGATGGAAACACTGGTGAATATAATTTCTAAGAAGGAGAAATTCCAGAGGAAGAAATACATAGGAGTCTTTAAGTGAGAGTCTAGCAAGGTGAGAATGATGATGATTAGGTTTCCAGTGATACTTAATATGTAAGTTATTAATAAGAAGCTGAAAATCACTACCTGGAGCTCTCTGTTGTCTGATATTCCCAAAAGCACAAACTCTGTAATTATAGTGTAGTTTTTCATCCCAATTTTCTCTTTCAATAAAATGTATTGATGAAAAAGAGATCAAAGAGTTTATTTAAAGAGTTAGAATTATATTGACATTACCATCTCCAACACATTATACAATAAGTATTTTCCTGTATGAATTGCTACATGGGCATTTGCTGTCTTTCATTTAACATTTCCATAATCAGTATTGTCTTCCTTTATAAATACATATAGATGTCATTAATTTATCATCATGCCATAAAGGTCAATACTTTTTCATTACTATCTAAATAGAGACCACAAACAAATACTATATTGAAAAGGGAATTATGTTTAAAATTTCCTCATGAATAATTTTATATGAAACATTTTATCATACTTAAAATTTCTACATGTATGTTACAACTTTAAGAGACAGATTACTTCCATAGTAATTATTTACATCACCTGCAATTTGAGCGCTGTCCTGAAATCTCTACCTGGAAAACACAGACATTGCTTTCCAAATTTTGAGACTGTATGCTTTTAAAACTAAAATATCTAATAACTAAAGTCAATTTTGATGCTATTTGATACTTAGAGAATTTAAGTGATAGAATTCAGTAAACAAATTTACAATTATAATAATGCATAGATTATAAAAATTTTTATTTTTACAAAAATCCTTTTATATATAACTACAAATATCTATGCTTGTAACCACAGTTATGTAGGACTATTGATACATTGGTTATAAGAAGAGGAAAATTAATCACAGAGATAGAAGAGAAAAACATAATACTATAATAAATGATGCATTTGTGTGATTAATGATGAATTTTTTTACTATTTACTTTGTGTCTTTACACTTACTCATAAGGCAACTCATAAGGAAGTTTTATTCTCTTTTTGGAAAATTATTGCTTCTCTCCTTGAAGACTGACTATTCAAAATAAGTTAAAAATGGTATAAGTAAATAAGTACAATAAGAAAAAAATTGAAATTATAAGATGTAAGCTACTAAATTCTATCTGTAGCTAAATTCTATCTGTCCTGTTCAAATCTAATACCTAGCAAACAACATACTGTCCAAAGCATAAATTTTCAATTATTACATGATATCGTTGTCTAGACCTTTTGGCAAGAGGTGATTACTAAAAATTATAATGGGCATTTTCCCTCTTCTATATAATGTTTTTGATAATCATTATTGTCTTACTCTGCTTATATTTGCCATTAAGTTATCATCAAACATGCAGGTCAAAAGTCAACTTGCTATTAAAATTTGAGAAATTGTTGAACAATTTTATATGTGCAACTACTAAGAATAAATGCTGAAATTATAATTTGAATTCACCAATTCTTTTGAGTAAAGTTTCAAATAACAAACAAATGAATTTATTGAAAACATAGAACATTCTTTTCTTATATTATATGACTAATACTCATTAGAAATGTAGTCTTAAATTTTTCTAAAATATGAAATATGTTTATGATATTCTTTTTTTGGCATCCAGCTAAATCTCGTATCTATTATTATATAAAATCCTCTAACATATATTAAGCAATGCTTAACTGCAAAAAAGATTTCTAGTAGTCTCACTTAGAAGTAAAATAAATTTCTCTCTTTCTAGGTACGTGTGTGTGTGTGTGTGTGTGTGTGTGTGTGTGTGTGTGTGTGTGTACTGGTAGGGTCTTACTATGTAACTCTGACTGACCTAAAACTCACTATGTAGACCAGACTGGCTTTGAACTCTTGGAGATATGAATGCCTGTTTATGTAATATTCTTAATTCTTCCATATGAACAGAAATGTAGCTAGGAATTCCACTATAAATCTATTTTAAATCATGATACATCTTTAATTTTCAGGGAATAATGGGTTGTGAAACATTTTAAAGTTCTATGAAGAAGGTAAAGAATGAATATTACATAAGCATAGGACAATTTTACCTTCTGTGGTCACTATAAATCCCCAAGAGACTACCTGGAAGAAAGAAAGCGAACAGAGGTTAATTCAGGAGATGCAACGTGGTCATGAATTATCTGTCCGGAAATCACAGCAATATAAGGAGATGAAAACATTGTGGGCCAATGAACTGATGCAGTCAGTCTGCTTTCCCTTTAGCTAAACTTAATTTTCCTAACAAACACATGGACTCTACACTAGGGAGATAATTCTCAATTATCTTGGGGTTAGCAGTTAATGAACCATTTCAATATCCTTACATATAAGCAAACTATTTGCTGCTGGTGAGAGTAAAATATGTTGCACCTACTATGGAAATCAATATGGAGTTTTCTTAGAAAACTAAATTTAAAGCTAGCACATGATCTAACCGTATAATTCTTTGACATATATCTAAAGAACTCTAAATCCTACAACAAAGGTACTTGAACATTCCTATTATTTTTTCTCAATTCACAGTATCAAGGTAATGGAACTTTTGTTGTCTGTCAACAGATGAATGTATGGTATGCTCACACAATTGAATTTTATTTGACCATAAATAAAAATTAGTGAATTCAGTAGAAAAATAAATTAACCTGAAAACTATTAAGCTGAGTAAAGTAACTCAGGCTCTGGAAAAAATTGAATGTTCTCAGGTATATTCTATTCTAATTTTTATGTGTGTATATACATATAATGTTTACATTAAAAAATGGATGTGGGGGAAGTGGGGGAAAAATGGATGTGGATGAGAGCATAGGCCATGTAACTAGTGAGGGTACCACAAAAAGTGAGAAGAGAGGTTTTAAAGACACAGAAGATGGAAATAGAATGTATGTGGCATAAAAGTAAAGAGGCCTAGTAGGCAAGGAAGGGTCCTAGTTGAGGGCCGGTTGGGAAAGAATTAGGGAGGAAGACAAAATGGAAATTATGTATGGAAATACCATAATGAAGCCAATTACTGTGTTCCAATTTAAAAAATAAAAGTTATAAATCAGAATATTTTAAAGGAATGATTCATCCATCAAGGTTTGAAAAACAGTGCATTTTAACCAGAATATTCCAGCAGATATAGGAAGAGATAATTTTTCATGTGTAGAAGGCCATTAGCAATTACAATGTGCATAGTCCTAGCCTGGAAATCTCTGTGTAGAATGCTTTGTGTAACTATATCCACATGTGCAAAACCATAAGTGTACACAAAAACATGTTGCCTTCTCCCAACTAAAGATTTGGCACCAGGGAAATATCCATCACTATGATGCTGGGTGTATGTACTGTGTAAGTTTAATTAAATGCTGTTACATATACATATATTTGAATTATAACTTTGTACAACTATTGATAAGGGGTGGATGCCCCAAAGTCCCTCCTGCATTCTAATTTAAAATCTTTTACGCTTCAAAATGGAGTTTAGGATTTTTTTTCTAGTTCTGTGAATAATGTCATTTGGATTTTGAGGAGTTTTGAGAGGGACTGTGTTGACAAGCAGATTGCTGTTGGCAATATAGCTATTTCCAGTTCTTTTCATCTATGAAAATGGGGAGTCCTTCCATCTTTTTCAAGTTATCTTCTTCAGTTTATCTCTATTGTATCTTGAGCCAATTTGCATGATGTATATCCTTGTCTTCCTCTTTCAATGTATTTTCCTAACACTCTCTAACAGCTAATTCTCTCACCCCTGTAAACATGGTTATAGCTGTTAATCTCTCCCTCATGAAAGGGAACTCAAAAGGCCAGAGGGTGCTGCTCTCTAAAATCCCAACAGGATGAGACAGCAGCCAGAACAGTCCTGTGTACACTTCTAAAATAAAGCTAGTTTTAATTGGAAAAAATATTATTTCAATGTTTCTAGAGATATATAATGTTACTTATATGTATGTTTACTAGACTGACCATTTAGTGTTGGCAGTGGATTCAGATGGGAAGGAACATGGGGAGAATTTAGAAGGACTTTGAGGAGGGGAAACCATAATTAGAACATATTATATGAAAAAATTATTTTCCCCAGAAGGTTATTGGTTTTTATTTAAATTAGAAATAAGCTTGCTTCACATTTCAATCCCTCTCCTCCTTCCCCCAACACCCACCAATCCCCCAACCCACCACCTAATCCCTACTCTGCTCCACAGGGAGGGTGAGGCCCTCCATGGGGGATCTCCAAAGTCTGTCATATCATTCGGGGCAGGGCCTAGGCCCTCCCCCGTGTGTCCAGGCTGAGAGAGCATCCCTTCATGTGGAATGGGATCCCATTTATATGCCAGGGATAAATACTGATCTACTACCTGAGGCCCCATAGATTGACAAGGCCTCCTCACTGACAACCAAATTTGGGGAATCTGGATGAGTCCCATGCTGGCCTCTCAGACATCAGTATGGGGCCCATGAGCTCCCACTTGTTCAGGTTAGATGTTTCTATCAGTTTCACAAGCCTGGTCTTGATCCCTTTGCTCATCACTACTCCTTCTATGCAAATGGGTTCCAGGAGTCCAGTTCACTGTTCAGCTATGGGTGTCTGCCTCTACTTCCATCAGCTCCTGGATGAAGGCTATAGGATGGCATATAAGGTAGTCCTCAATCTCATTATTGGGGAAGGGCATGTAAGGTAGCCTCTCCACTATTGCTTAGATTACCAGTTGGTATCATTCTTGTAGATCTCTGAAAATCTCACAAGTGCCAGATCTCGCCTCAGACCTATAGTGACTCCCTCTATTATGGTATCTCTCATCTTGCTGTCTATTCTTCTCCCATCTCAAACTTCCTGCTCCCCCATTTCCTCCTCTCCCCTCCTCTTCTCCCTCTCACTTTCTCCCTGCTCCCTCTCCCCTCCCCCCATGTTCCCAATCTACTCAGGAGATCCTGTCACATTCCCCTCCTCCAGGGTACCATGCATATCTCTCTTAGGGACTCCCTGTTTCCCAGACTCTCTGGTGGTTACACTGTAGGCTGGCAATCACCTGTTCCATGTCTAAAATCCATATATGAGTCAGTACATACCATAGTTGTCTTTTTGTGACTGGGTTACTTCACTCAGGATGGTTTCTTCTAGTGTCATCCATTTGCCTGTAAATTTCAGGATTCCATTGCTTTTTTTCCATTGAGTAGTACTTTATTGTATAAA